CGCTTACAGCAGCGTTAATGATAGCAGTGTCCTTCCAATGTGGTCCCCCAGTGACCGCCCTCGCTCTCTCTGTGTGTGTGTGCGCAGCTCATCACTGTGTATGCAATGGTAATTGATACGTGCACATCATGTATAAACTAGGGCCTTTTCAGTGAACCGGGCGAGCTGGCATCGCGCCAACAATAGCGAATTACAGCTGTGCTCTCGGTTAAACAGAGATTATTATTTTGGCATTTTCCAAAGTCGGTAATGCACATTTTGGGAGATGTTCTCGCATTATTTGGGTCCCATAAGGTTTAGTTCTCCGGAAATATAATGCACTAAAAATAAAGTATAACCAGCCATTAAGGAATGTTAATGCCCTCTACTTGGTCTTAATTTCCGAGTATGATCAGCTGCTAATGGATGCAGGAAAATATTAATTTGTTGGGCAGTACCCCACAGAGGCAGTTTTTTTTCTTCTGTTTTTCTCCACAGAATCTTCATCCCCCTTTCTCTCTCTCTCTCTCTCTCTCTCTCTCTCGTAATTTCATTTCAGATGACACCGTGGAGAAAGACAAGGTAAAGAAGGCGGGCGACTGCTGCAGGAATATCCTCAACCACGTCAACCAAGCGTGAAGGAGTCTGAAAACAAACAGGTAGGTGTGATTTAGCGTCATCTGGGATCGGGGGGGGGGGGGGTAGCACAGCCTAACCCCTCTGTCTCCCACATCTCCCCTATCTCACCCCAGCTCTGCCTAGAGTGCTTCTCAGCCACTCCAAAATCTGTCCGCTCTTTTCTCCCACTGTTCCTCTGAGAGCAAGCAGAGATGATGGCAGGTGATTGATTGCAGGGAAAATATGGGGTTTGTGTCTCTTGGTTAGAGTGTAATAGTGCCTATAGCAGCACAGCATCCAGTTTACGCCTGGTGTTCTGTGTGTGCCTCTCTCTCTTTCTCGCTCTCTTTTTCTCCCTCTCTCTTTTTTTCCGTCTTTCTCTCTCTCTCTCTCTCTCTCATCCCACAGAGACTGGAGGACTACCAGAGGAGGCTAGACCTCTCGTCTCTGAAGCAGACAGAGAACCCCGTGATTTCAGAGCTCAAGGTGAGGCGATCTATAAAGCGTTTTCTACTCCTGCCCGCAATACTGCTCTTTTAGTCTGCAGTCTACCCACAACATTTTAGTTAGTTTTTGTTTCTGCAGGGGAGCCACTGCAGTTATGAAAGGGGAAATTATTTGTTTAAATGTCTGCTGGTAGTGCTCGAAATTGGACTAGATCATGCAGCTCCATTCTTTGGGGTGGAAGGGTACCTGTTTCCAAAGTGAAAGCTAATAGGGATCTGACTAAACAAATAAACCCTGCTAATCTGACCTTTTTGACCTTTCCTCCCTCCACGCTCAGAACCTGGACCTGACCAAGAAGAAGATGGTCCACGAGGGACCACTGTCATGGAAGGTCAACAAGGACAAGACTATTGGTATGCTTTCGACTTTATCTGGCGTTTATGTGGATAAGTAGGGTCAAGGAGGTTTTTCCTGACCAATGCGATACAACCAGGGAAAACTCTTGGCCCTAGTTGTAGACTACAACTGCAAACAGGGCCCGGACTAATTCCATCTCAGGTCATGTGGTCAGGAAAAACTCCTGGCCCCTAAGACAAACAACCTGATGTAATGGGAGAAATTATAAAAGAAACACGGTTGTTGCCTAATGAGATATAATACTAATATAATTGTGATGTCTATGTCCATTGTAGTGTTCTATGTAATTCTGTGGTTAAATCCCCTCTTCTTCTGGTCTCAGAGCTGTACACCCTGCTCCTGGAGGACATCCTGGTACTGCTGCAGAAGCAGGACGAGCGCCTCATCCTCAAGTGCCACAGCAAAAACCTGTCGGGCACCGCCGACACCAAGCACATCTTCAGCCCCATCATCAAGCTCAACGCGGTGCTGGTGCGCTCTGTGGCCACAGGTGAGTTACCATAGAGATACAGTCATACCATTAGTTTCCCTGACCAAGATGGCCACCCTGTAGTCATGCTACCTGGAATGCCAATGTCCATTCTAGTGTTCTAATTGAAATCTGTTTGAGTTAGATCCAAACTTGTTAACACAATGACTCCCAGCTCAAATTACACCCTATCCCCCTAAATAGTGCACTACTTTTGACCAGTGCCCTATGTGGCAGCCCTATGTGACTGTTGTCAAAAGTAGTGCACTATATGGGGAATAGGGTGTGATTTGAGACACAACCAGGAGTCTGAACCTGTTTTCCTGCTATTCCCTCTCCCAACAGACAACAAGTCATTCTTTGTTCTCTCAATGTCGGACAACGGGGCCCAAATCTACGAGCTGATGGCCCAGACCGTATCAGAGCAGAGAATGTGAGTCCTCCTGACACTGTGGTTTAGTCATGATAGCCACAACTTTAAAAAACCCATTCAGTTTAGCTTAATTCACTGGAGTAGGTAGAAGTTGCCCCTAACCACTGATACAGAGTCAGATATTTTTCTTACCTGTCTTAGTAGTGAAGGTTAGCAATGGAGGTAGGGTTATCTGATCCTAGGTCTGTGGTAAGGAACACCTTTTACCCACAGTCTATTCGCCTCTGTCTGTCTTGTGTGTCTGTCTGCCTGTATCTGTGTTTGTCTTTCTGTCGGTCGGTCTGTCTGTGTGTTGTCATCCTCCCTCCACCAGGTGGCAGCGGCAGATCACCCAGAGAGCGGACGCCATGAAAGTGAAGCCAAACATCCCCTTACCTCAAACAGAGTACGTTCCTCCTCTCAGTATAAAACGTAGTTGGTTTTATTAATCAGCAAATGTATTTTATGATGACCATGACCTTGCTTCTCCTGAAACTGACTCTGTGTTCTCTCCCACCGTGTCAGTGGAGCGCGAGACGGTGTGGAGATCATCACTGCAGGCGTAGCCCGACTCAGTAAGGAACCGGACTGCATCTCCTCTGGAAGCAGCCAGTCTATAGGTATCTAAGCTAGCACCCCATCTCTCCATGTTCCCCCGTCTATAGTGATCAGTGTATTTGAGAACTTCTTCAGTAGCAGTTAGTGACATTGGTTAATGTGCAGTGGAGGCTGATGTCACAGGCTTATATCAATGGCTGGAATGGAATGTATGAAACCGAGTTTTTGATACTTTCCATTTAGGTGTCCTTGTTCTCTCCCCAGATAAAGACTGCAGCTCTGCCTCTGGAGGCGTGATGCAGACCTCTCTCCCAGATGCCAACCCCTTTGAAGGACTCAAGCCCGAAGAGGAGGAGCCCAGCCGGGAGGAGGGGCTTTACAGGGACCCGGACCTCGCAGATAGGCTCCCCTTCCGCATGGCCGTAGACGGGCTCAGCGAATCGGACGGGCTGGGCTTCAGTCCTTCTAGAGCTGACGATGCCTTAAAGACATGTGAGTGAGAGGACATCTGCCTCAATCGCCAAGGTCTCAAGTCTGGAGTGTCATACTTAGTGGGTCAAGACTTTTCTGACCAGGAAACACTCTAGTTAGAGTTATATGAACCTGGTCAGGTCGGTTGGTCAGGGATAGCTCTCCACCCTAAACATACATTACATATATAGATTTTATGTGGTGGGGAATCTATTCATCTAAAATCACACACACACACTCCTCCATTGGTCTAACCGTATCTGTCTTCTCTAGTGTCGGCGCTGAAGCAGGTCCTGGTGACCCAGCTCATGTCGCAGGAGGACGGCGAGGGCGCCGGGCGCTCCTCCTCAGGGGGCGGGCGTCTTCTCAGAACCACATCCCTGAGGACCCCCGTGGACAGCCGGGCCCGGGTGGAGGTGCAGAATGGCTCAGGGAGGTGCACCCAGGCCAGCCACCCCGAGGACCAGGCTCAGGATCTGGTGTCTGGGGACACAGGCTTCTTTGAGTCCCCGGAGGATTATGGTAAGCTTGCAGTTGTGTGTGTGTGTGTGTGTGTGTGTGTGTGTGGTGTGTGTGTGTGTGTGTGTGTGTGTGTGTGTGTGTGTGAGAGCGATCAGTGTTTTTTTATCCTGGTCTTGGGGACCCATGGGGGTGCACATTTATTTCTAGCTCACACCTGATTCACCCAACCAATCTCCCAATCCACGTGTTGAATAAGGAGAGTGTTAGTGCTGGAGAAGAACACAAATGTGCACCCCTGTCACCCTTGGGTTTCCCAGAATTTAAGAACCCTGTGCTAGATTGCTCTAGGTTTGCGGACCGCCAGTGCGTAGGTGTGCTGAACAGCAGAGACTCAGCTTGGTCGTATTCATTATGGCACCTCGTAGCAATACATTTTGCGACGGAAAACAAAAACCAGCGTTTTATTCTATGGACAAGTTCAGTTAGTCCCTCGCTGTTTCAATCCGTTTTCATCCCTTTGGTGCCTAATGAGTTGGACCGTGTTGTTGTGTCTCCCAGCAGGGTACCTGGTCCTGGAGGGCTACGGTGGCTCGGGGGAGAGCAGCACGGACGACGACCTCCAGGCCACGGGGAAGCAGCTGAGCGCCTCGCGGGGCTGCGGGGCCGGAGACTCTGGGATCAGCCTGAGGTTCTCCTCCGCCTCACAGGCAGGTAGCATCTCCAGCTTTAGCCGTCAGGTCCTGTCCCACATCCGCAACCTGCAGACCAACCTCAACCACCTCAAGGTACGCACACGTGGGATGGATGGATGGATGGATGGTTGGTTGGTTGGTTTGTGAAAGACTGACTCACTGGTTGGTTGGTTGGTTGACTGACTGGTTGATTGATTTGCTGACTGGTTGATTTGCTGACTGACTGGTTGGTTGGTTGACTAATTGGGTGGGTGGGTGACTGACTAGGTGACTGGTTGGTTGGTTGACTGATTGACTGACGGGTTGGTTGACTGGTTGGTTGATTGGTTGACTGACTGTTTGGTTGACTGGATGGGTGGGTGGGTGGGTGACTGACTAGGTGACTGGTTGGTTGGTTGACTTGTTGGTTGGTTGGTTGATTGGGTGGGTGACTGACTAGGTGACTGGTTGGTTGGTTGACTGACTGGGTTGGGTTGTTGGTTGACTGATTGACTGGTTGATTGGTTGACTGACTGGTTGGTTGGTTGACTGGATGGGTGGGTGACTGACTAGGTGACTGGTTGGTTGGTTGACTGACTGACTGGTTGGTTGGTTAGTTGACTGGGTGGGTGACTGGTTGGGTGGGTGACTGACATAGAAGACCGATTTTCGGGATGTCTCATGGTCTGACAAACATCGCTCTAGCTCTGCCACCTTTCACCGCAGATGCAGAAGGGTGGATTGAGGCGTAGCCCATGCAAAAAAACATATCTCTAGTTTAAACAGACAGATTTTTATGGGGATTTTTGTATTATGTTAATTTGATTTCCGCGGTGCCGTTAAGGGTTAATTAGTAACGTTGATTTGTAAATGTGACGTTAATGCTTTCTCTCAGGAGGTAGAGGCCAAGTATCACAGTCTACTGCGCCAAAGGCCGGCCAGGTCATCGACAGACGTGGACGATAACAAAGGTAACATGGCTCTAGTCTTACTGATTACTTTTCCCTCTTTCAGTGTTTCAGTATTTATTAGGAAACCCAAGAGCATGTGAGGCTTGACCGCTGAGTTATTGTTTATGGTCTGACTGCCCTGGCCCTTTCTGTTATTACCTTGTTCCTAGATAAGAGATAGTCGCGGAAATCCCACCCCTCCCAGGCCCCTGCATCAGGCCGTAAGGGAGGACGTGAAGATGGAAGAGTTGATTTCTGCCGTTGACCTGGATGTCCTCTATTAGCTTGTCCAATCAACTGCTGAGTACTTTCCTCCTCCTCCTCCCACCGTGGTTCTCCCCGAGAGACTGAGCATGAGCGAGAGACAGTTGGAGGAAGGGGGGTTTCTCTGGATCTCTCCCCCCGCCCCCTCCGTCAGCACAAGGCAATCAGGGAAGAGGGACTGTCCCAAACCCAGCCCCACCTGCCCCCCCTCCACTGCTGCGTGTCCCCACTCCAATGGCTGTGGGTCGCCCAGTGCCTCCCCTCCTTTCTCTCTACTCCTAGTCATCCTTGCAAGAAACAGAACTATACCAAAATGTACAAAGCTGTGTGTTTAGGATATATATTAAACACAAAAACAGAAGCGAGAAGAAAAAGGAACATTTTAAGATAATGTATTACGTTTTTTTTTTTTTTTCCCAAGATGTATTTATTTTATCTTTTTTTGTGTTTTCCCATGTTGCTTGCATGCTTTTTTTTGGCCATTTCGACCTCCTTTTAGGCTGCTCAACCCGCTCCACCCACATCGGTGCACATGGTATCCTATCGTTAATGAACACAGGAAGAATATGCTTGGACTGAGAGGGCATAGAGTGGGCATAGAGTTGCACTTTGTGTGGAGCCCCTATAGGCTGGTGTTTAAGCAGCAGGGCAAAGTCAGGGGCTCTGTCCTGGTCCTCAGTGCAGTTCTACACCTGTCTTAAACTCATCCCTCCCTCTCCTGTTGGTAATAAAGCCTGGTTTCCCCCTCTGTGCTGCCCATGCTACTGCTGATGTGCCAGTGATCTGATAATGTCACAAAGTTCACACATTTATAAACGATCAAGTTGGAATGTTATGCATAACTTTAATAAAAAAATGCCATGACACATTTCTAAACCTAAACACGGTTTATTCCTTTAGTCCTGTTCTCTGCTTTCATTAGTTTTTTTTTCCCCCAATGTGGCTTTGTGGTCAGAAATGGGGATAGACTTGAAATGTTCTCACCTTCTCTTACTTCTGACCCTGTAGATAAATCACTAAAACTATTTGATAAACAAGGAGATGTGATGGGACAGAAAGAAACACCAAGTTGCTTGGACTGCAGGACATACTGCCCTGTGGCTGTGGGAGTGTTTTCAGCACCATTTTCAGTCAGTGAGGTAACTATTGGAGGACAAAGGAGTTGGCCTACTCATAAAATGTAACCGTCATAACAAATGTACAGCCTTTTTCTCTGCAGTTTTGCTCAATACTGACCAATCAGGTAGGTAGTGAACAAAATAGTGCAACCTATGAGTTTGACTATGCAGGAACATGTTGCTAAGCTTTTGTTAGGTAACTGTAAATTAATTTTGACCCATATACAGTAGTTTTGTATTTCTCAGATTTCAACTGTTTTTTTTAGAAACTATTACATGGAATGGATTCAGCAATACCATGACTTAATTAATCAAGAACAAGGCTATCAGGTTGTCCTTGTCCTCCAATATGAAGATGCGGTCACTTAACATACGCCAGTAGGGGCCAGGCTTTTACCATCTACCAGATAGTTATGAGGAGGACACACCCCGAAACCTGCAATGACATCAGTTTTCTCTGTCTGAAACAACGTGTTCTTTTGCTGCTAAATTTGTATCTAGTCTGTCATTGTCTGATTCAGTTCACAATATCTAATTAAAGATTTTCTTCAGGCATCTGTCTGAAAGCTCAGCTACTGTCTGAAAGGTTGATAGTTAAATATACCTGAGAGAAAATGCCATTGTACCCTGTTACTGCAAAGCAATTTAATGTCTGAAGAATAACTAAATCTGCTTTGGAATTTCACTTACGTAGTTATCAAGGGTTTTGAGTTAAATCTAGACTACTTGACAGTGTGTGCACATTACTTGATTTTGCCTCTGCAAAGGGTTAACCTCTAATTACTTATTCTCCTTTGAGTGACACATCTTTTGCATCTGCCTCTCCTCCTGAAGACATTCTGCAATGAAATGAAGACCAAGAAGAGAGAGGGATGGTAATTGATTGTCACACTTTCCACATGCACCTGTCAATTATCTAATTGAAGTTCTAGACAAAGGAGTGCGCTGTCACATCTCAGGAGGGTCACTTCAGTTTGAGCTACTGACTAGTTTTTCTCATTCTGCCTCTTGGCATAGTATTACGTTATTTGGCCAAATGTATAAGATAAGATTGAAATAGGATCTATGAGTAAAGGTGTGTTGTCTTCTAGTGACCGTTTCTTCTAGCCAATAATATACAATTGTCATTTCCATGCACCAACGTTGCTGCATCAGTTATTTTACAAAAGAATGAAAACTTTTCCTGCAAGGTGTATTACGAGGAGATTTGTGTCTCCTTCAGTCACACATCTTCAGTCACAGTTTTCTGTTTCTTGACACTCAATTTCACCTAGGAGTGTGGCCTGTTTGTGACATGCAGGTATTGTGGTGCTTTAAGTGTGGCTTAATTCTAAGATAAGGATGTTTGACGATATGATTCACTTGACAAGAGACGTGTGTGCGTGCGTGTTTCCACCTGGAGTGAAGCAATTTTCACTCCAGCAACTGTGTGGACATTATAGATACGTACAAACCCTCAGAATAGACACATGCAAGTGTTTTCCACCAAGGCTGATCCTGATGTGACATTCATTGTCACTTTGTAATTCTCACTCTACTGCATACATGCAGCAGTCAGCCACTAAGACCTTGTTCTAAAGAATGTACCACATATTTTAGACTATGAACAATAATACACGTTTTTGTATATTAGAATGACTTGACTGTGGTAGAGCAGTGCTCATCAGGGACAATAATCTTTCAAACAATATTATTTGGTAACCATCCATAAGAGGAAGAAAGCTGCTCATACAATTGATTGCTGCCAGAAATTGAAAGTTAGATTTAAATGAATCAGCCTCTTAGATGGTCATTAATGGTGCACTGCCTTAGTTTAATGAGCTGTAGGTCTTTTCGGTCTTGTTTCTTTGTACATATACACTGAACAAAAATATGAATATACGTGCAACCATTTCAAAGGTTTAAGTGAGTTACAATTCATATAAGGAAATCAGTCCCTAATCTATGGATTTCACATGACTGGGAATACAGATATGCATCTGTTGGTCACAGATACCTTTAAAAAAAAGTAGGGGTTTGGATCAGAAAACCAGTCCGTATCTGGTGTGACCACCATTTGCCTCATGCAGCGCAACACATCCCCTTCATATTGAGTTGATCAGGATGTTGATTGTGACCTGTGGAATGTTGTCCCACTCCTCTTCAATGGCTGTGTGAAGCTGCTGGATATTGGCAGGAACTGGAACGTGCTGTCGTACACGTCGATCCAGAGCATCCCAAACATGCTCAATGGGTGACATGTCTGGTGAGTATGCAGGCCATGGAAGAACTGTGACATTTTCAGCTTCCAGGAATTGTGTACAGATTAGGGTTGAATATTTTCCCAGTATTTTACAAATGTTCCATCCCGAGAATAAATCACTTTTGACCAGTGGCGGCTCCTGAAAAAATTCTCAGGAGGGGCAATTTTTCTGATGATTTAGGTGACCTACACACATTTAAAAAAAGATATGTCCAGCAACAACATGAAGACAGGGGCAGCATATAAGTCAATACCAGAAGCATTTATTGACTGATCTCAAAAGTGTTGGCTTACCAGGGTTGGTGGAGCCCTCAGTTTCATCTTTGCCTCGCAAAGCTAACTCAAACACTCCGCAAAACTTCACACACTGGATTAGCCGGCTGAGGATGTGGCGGTTCTTGCTAATGTCGTAGTAAATATATTTGTTATAGTGAATATGGAATATGATATGTTGAGTAAAATGTTGTGCTAAGATCTATTTAGGTCAGGAGCTGGTTATAAGTTCTGTTCCTATCCAATAACAATGGACAAAAGGGTCCTATCTTGTCAGCCTTGTCAGCAGGTGGCCAAGGACAACACCCACGCCATAGGCCTCTCAGTTCTTCCAACTCACGAGTTCTTGCTCTGAGGACACACACACACAAACACACACACACACACATCATCACTGTTAAACACACACACACACACACACACACACACAAAAATCCCCTCTCTTAGGCTGAACATTTGAAGACAGAGAACCCGACTCAGAGCCAATGCAACAGTGACAGTAGCCTGGAGGGGACCTCGCCCAACTCATCAGGACCAATCAGAAGATCAGAACTACTAGATTGAACCTACTTCATTTATTGCATAAAATGTCTGCACACAATGTTTCGGGGCTCTCTTCAGATAATAATAATAATAATAATAATAATAATAATAATAATATGCCATTTAGCAGACGCTTTAATCCAAAGCGACTTACAGTCATGCGTGCATACATTTTTGTGTATGGGTGGTCCCGGGGATCGAACCCACTACCTTGGCGTTACAAGCACCATGCTCTACCAGCTGAGCTACAGAAAGTGGATACTCATGGATGCGCATTGCAATTGTAAAATGTCAACACAATTGGAGACACCACGTCATTTTTGGAGACATGTTATTGACAGTAAACTATTGTAGATGCGACTGCTAACTAAATAAAACATTTTAGCTGGCTAGCTAATCATCTTAGCTAAATGTGGGGCAAACAATTCAGTTATTTACCGTTAATTTGAGGGATTGGGGTGAAAGAAATCGAGTTACATAGTGATACTTTACGATATACTGTATTGACAATATCGCAATATTTTAGCGCTAGTTGGCTGTACCTGCACCAAAACACCATTATTGTTCCTTCATAGCTTGTTCTCAATCTTTTCACATTGGGAGCCAATTTGTTTTCAGCACTTTTATTTCCATGACTGATCAAAACTCGTTCTCATGGCTTTCTGATCCCTCTGCAACAGACATATGGTGCGCAATAAAATCACAGTATCGAATCGCAATACGTATAGAATCATGAGACTCGCAATGCTGATGCATATATCTTATCGTGAGGTTCCTGGCAATTCCCAGCCCAAGTTCATTTGCCACAACAAATCTCTTCGCTAGCAAACGCGATGTCTTCTCCAAAACGGCAATGTGTCTCCAGCAATGTTTACTTTTTTGACGTTCTATGGCATCTCCACTTTCCAAGCATATATGACCACATGTAATATTTTGGTAAGTGATGCAAATAGTGAACTATGTAGGGCCAGGATGTAAAATATATGTAGCTGCAGCAATTTCTCTTATCTGATATGGTAAGTAATGGGGCTTGATTTATAGCTCCCTAAGAGTTTGACGAACGGGTCCGTGAACGCGATTGCAGATATCTTTACCTCTGAATAAACTGCCTTATATTATACAATTATCCACCTTGTCCAAAAGTCTCTACTTTTTCTCCGTTCTCCAGTAAACTTGTTTTATCAACAATAGTAAGGTTCAATGACACAGAAAGCAGTTCAATGTCGGGGTACAGAGTCGCTCTCTTACCAGGATCGCGGTCCGCTCTGACCAGGGTGAAGGTGACCGGCTCCACCTCTCTGTCCGGGACTCTGTCATCCAGTCAAGTCTCCCAGCTGTATTGGGATTACAGCTGCCTGCAACGTTTTCATTATTTAGTCCATTCGTAGCGGGTATGTACACGATCAACAAGATCAGTCCAAAACCGAAGATCAGTCCAAAGCAGAATGTTTGCAGAATGTTTGTAAACTAAGTCTACAAATTAAAAACATAAAATAACGCCACACTGCAGGTCGCAACATAGACGCTGATAGCCGCCATTGTCTTAGTTACGTTCAACGTTACGTCACGTATGACGAAAGCGCGTAAGTGCATGCACACAGACACCCATAGAGAATGTATTGAAAGCTTTGAAATGTGAAAAAAATAGATTTTACATGACAGGCTATGAGAGACTTCTGGGCGATTTTCAACCTGACTGAAATCGCCCAAAAAACGGGCGGGGCCATTTGAAGCACGACTTTAGCCTGATTTGACATTTAGTGGCTGGCAGATCAGACGTGAACACTGATAACTGCTGTTGCCGTGATATAATTTTTTATAAATTTATTTAAAAAAAATATAATATTATTATTATTTTTTTTTTAATAATTGATTAGAAAAAAAATCCCTTCCTTTTCCCGTTTGGCAGTGCGTCGCCCATATCGCCCTATTGAACAAGCCGTCCCTGCTTTTGACCTGGTATTTCCCGCCAAATCGGAAGTGTCCTTCAAAAGCATTATAAAGCATATAAATAAGCCTATGTCTGGATTTGATTAGAGCTTTGATTGAAAATTCAAGCCTGATGCTACCTGAGCCTGATGAGCCATACATTGAATACATTTTAATGAGCCCTACATTAAAGACATTTAATGAGCCCAAGCAATACCAAATGATTATGCCGTTATCCAATACATACAGTGGGGAAAAAAAGTATTTAGTCAGCCACCAATTGTGCAAGTTCTCCCACTTAAAAAGATGAGAGAGGCCTGTAATTTTCATCATAGGTACACGTCAACTATGACAGACAAATTGAGATTTTTTTTCCCAGAAAATCACATTGTAGGATTTTTTATGAATTTATTTGCAAATTATGGTGGAAAATAAGTATTTGGTCACCTACAAACAAGCAAGATTTCTGGCTCTCACAGACCTGTAACTTCTTCTTTAAGAGGCTCCTCTGTCCTCCACTCGTTACCTGTATTAATGGAACCTGTTTGAACTTGTTATCAGTATAAAAGACACCTGTCCACAACCTCAAACAGTCACACTCCAAACTCCACTATGGCCAAGACCAAAGAGCTGTCAAAGGACACCAGAAACAAAATTGTAGACCTGCACCAGGCTGGGAAGACTGAATCTGCAATAGGTAAGCAGCTTGGTTTGAAGAAATCAACTGTGGGAGCAATCGATCTGGGGCTCCACGCAAGATCTCACCCCGAGGGG